GGGCGGATGGGGGGGGGGAAGAGGCCGCTGGGTGCCCGAGGGTCGCGAACAACTCGTTTTCAATGCGCCAACGCATGCGCCACTCCCTGCCTGCAGGCTCAAATTCGCGGACGAGGCATTCACGTACCAGCATGCCTCCCGAGGCACCCTCTCCATGGCCAACGCGGGCCCGGACACGAACGGGTCTCAGTTTTTCTTGACCTTCCGCGACACCCCGCATTTGGACGGAAAGCATGTGGTCTTTGGGCGGCTGCTGGAGGGGATGGAGGTGTTGCAGGTGGTGGAGATGGTGGCGACGGACGGGAGGGACCGGCCGCGCATGCCCGTGACGGTAGTGGACTGTGGGCAGATAGGGGAGACGGCGGAAGAGGACGAGGGGGACGAGGGGGAGAGAGGGGAGGAGGCAGAAGGAGCAGAGATGGGGGACAAGCCTGAGGAAGGAAGGCAGGGCAAAGGGGCCAAGAAAGTGCAGGGGGAGGAGGACAGCGGCGAGGACGAGGAGAAGGAGGAGGAGCGGATAAGGGAGGACGAGGAAGCGGAGGAGGAGGAAGAAGGAGAGAAGGAGGCGGACATGAGCGGGATGACGGAGACCCAACGTCGTTTGTACAAGCTCAAGTGGAAGCTAAACCAGGGCCGGAAACTGAATCGTCAGGCCGTGAAAGAGGAATTCACGCGCAAGAACACGCCCAACTTGGAAGCTCGTCTGCGGGCGGAGGAGCGGCGGGATTCGAACGAACGGTGGAGGAAAGAAATCCTGGCCCGGGGGATGAAACCGGAGGAGGCTTACATGTTCGAGACAGCGGAAGCGGCGGGAAAGAAACAGGCGGCGGCGGTCCGGAAGGCGAAAGGCCAGGCAGCCTTCGGATGGGACGTGTTCAACCAAGATGCCTTGTACAAAGCTTACAAGAAACGCCTGGGGAAACTCCCTTCCGCGGAAGGGGGAGCCAGGGCGGAGGAGGAGAAGGAGGGGCGGGGGGAGGAACCGGACCCTTTGGCTTACGGCCAGGCCCCCAGGGGGGAGGCGGCGGGCCTGGTCCGGATGACGGAGGAGCTGGAGGAGCGGGAGAGGGCGAGGAAGAACTTCAGCCGACGCCGGGCCGCGTACGAGGGGGAGGACGTGTCCTCCATCAACGAGCGGAACAAGATGTTCAACAAGAAGCTGAAGCGCGCCTACGACAAGTACACGGTCGAGACGCGGCAGAATTTAGAGAGGGGGACGGCCTTGTAGCACGGGGGGGCAAGGACGGCAAAAGGAAAAAATATTCAAGCTCAGCCATATCACGCACGGGGCGCGCGAGGTACGCCTCGGATGAGACGAGGCCAGGAAGCTTTGTGCTGCTTCTCTATTGCTTTGTACATGTGTCGCCGTCCTGACGACCGAGCTTCTCCCCCCTACCAGCTGTCTCGTCATCATGGCAGCGCGGGCCCGAGACCTCAGGGCGGCATTCCTCACCCGATTTTCAGCCCATCCACCCACGTATGCACACAACCTAACTTTGTACTTTCCCTCCGCCCCTGCCTCCCCCCGGTCCATCCTTGTCTTATCCGGCACCCCAGACCCTCTCCTCCCTGAGCTGCCCTTCCTCAACCAGGGGCCAAGCACACGCCCATGCCGCACAAGACGTGGGCTTAAGATGTAGGCCCATCTTCGCTCGCGCATTCCTCCCCCCCTCCCTCCC